AGAAAAGCGTAGTTCTAATACTATTAGTATTAAAACTACAGGACATAAAAGAAGTATGTTCACAGTTATGTTAGGTTATATGGCTGATAGTTCAAAACTACCACCTGTTATTATTTTTAAATTGAAAAATAAATCTAGAAAAGAGTTTTCTGATGGTGTATTCATTAGAATTAATGAAAAAGGCTGGGTAAATAAAGAGGAAATGATTTGGTGGATTGATAATATTTGATCCAAAAGATTTGATCAATTATTAAATCCTAGATCACTTCTTGTTTTAGATTCTTTTCGTGGTCATTTAGTTAATTCTGTTAAACAAAAATTGGATGAGGTTCATACTAATATGGCAGTAATTCCTAAAGGGTTAACATCCAAATTGCAACCTCTTGATATTGCAGTTAAATCTAATGTAATATTAATTATTATAAGTTATTTTATTATATTTATTATAATAAAAATTAAAATTTTTTTTTAATAGATTTGTGAACTTTATATTAATTGGATGACAAATGAAGTTCATAATCTAACTCCAGCTGGGCGTATCAAAAAACCATCATATTCTTTGGTATTTTCATGGGTAAAAATTACATGGAAAAAGGTTAACTCAATTTTGATTTGTAAATCATTTAAATGTTGTGGTATTTCAGTTAAAGTTGATGGTTCAGAAGATGATATGATCTTTGATTATGATAATCTCATAGATGAAAATCAAGAAAATAAATTATTAGATGAAATGGATGAAAATGATGATAATGAGGGAAATGATAATAATGAAAATGAATATAATAATTGGAGTAGTCTTAATTTCGTTTAATTTTGTTTAAAAATAATAAATTTAAATAAAGATGATTTTTTTGATTTGTTTTACATATATTTTTATTCAAATTTTATTAAATTCAGCTAAAAAAAAAATATCTATGTATACTACTAGGGTTTTTACAAATTTTCAGCCCAAAACCTTGGGGGGTAGTTTACACGAGGGGGAGGGGAAATAGATTAGTCAGTACTTTACGGTAATTAGATATTGTTCCTTCACAAGAATCAGGTTTTTTATCGTAACCTCTTTCAACTCTTTCAGAGTCAATTCCCTTCTTTTTCTTTTATGCTCTTGCTCTTTTTTTTTCATTTGCTCTTTTTTTTCCATTTGCTCTTTTTCTTTTTCCATTTGCTCTTTATTTTCCATTTCTAAAAATAAATTTTCACTCATTTCGAATGTGAGTTATTAGTTCAACAGAATATTAGCTTTTTTCTATTAAATATATCACTAACGGCTCAGATATTTGGACCATTTTATAATAAAGGCAACGTCAAAGAAATGAGAAATCATTTTTGGAATGTTTCACCTACCAGGATTGTATTACAATAAAATTTCTGATTATAATTTTCTAAATTTTAAAACCTTACTTCTTGTCCAAAATAAATTTGCAGAATATAGTAGTATCAATTAATGAGGGTCTCGATTTGGTATTTTTAAATTGAAACTTTGTGATAGGCTGACGCACTTGGATGAGTTCAAAAATCTAATTTTTTCGGTAATAAAAAATAAAAGAATATTAAAATGGCAATATTGTATAAGAATGAAGTGATGACTTGTTTTATCTATGAATTCATCTGCAATATGATCGCAAGTCACATAATCATTTTGTTATTCAAATGCACTGCGAGAGCACATGACATCATATGATCTATATGACTTACATAAGCCATTTGTTCATTTCGAAGGGTTAATGACTTATATCTTTGTTATTTGACTTAATTCAGGCTGGTGTTATAAATATAATTTCCATAAAAGGTAATTCCTTTACACATAGTCTTAAAATGACAATTTTTAGGTTTAAAATATGTTACATGACAAAATATCTATTTACTTTTTTGTACCATTACATAACAAAATAAAATGCTGTGCCAGCTGTAATTTTATGAATCATGTGATTATTATATGACTTTATAACAATATGACATAGTGTCCTACGACATTAGGACCATATAAGGCCTTTGCAATAGAAAGGGAAAACTTCTGGAAAATCAAAAATAAGTTAATACTAAATTTGAATATATTTCAGCCTAAAAATCATATTTGGCATTTAAACGTAAAATTAATTTTTCCTGGCAGATTCCCCCCTTTCTATTGCAAATGCCCCATATAACCTAAAAGCAAAACATTAGATTGGTGTAGCCTAACTTTGCTGAGGAACAAAAGTGACAGTCTTTAAAAGGATTATAAACTAAAAATTTGAAGATCTTATAAACAAACGAATGTGGTGTTTCATTTTTTTGACATCTGATCTCATTCTCTGTGAACTTGTAGCCAAACAACTTATGGAAATCCGTTTCTAAGATGGGATGAACTGTGTATAAAGGAGTCTCTTCAAATCGAAACTTTGGGAATTGAAATTTTTTTAGTATCAATTTTTTAACGTAACGAAGTGATTAGATATGGGTCGTTTGCTACTTAAAATAAAGTGATACATATACAGTGGCGCTCAAAAGTATTGCATCACCTGAACACAAATTTTAAAATGATAATATCTTGTGATTAAAAATGCGCAGAGTTACAAAACTTTAATTAATGAGTTTGTCATATCTCATATTTTATCAATCTACTTAATCTTTTTTTTAAGGGGTAAAAATATTTTTTCTTTTGTTATGAAGTTTCGCAAAAATAGCGATGCAATTATTTTAATCGATTTAACAAATAAAAATAAACATTTATTCGCGAATTTTTTTGTGCTTCAAAACAACCATGCAGCATATATAAA